GGTGGGTGAGGCCGCGTGGGTCGCGGAGCAGAGCCCAGCGTCGGGCGGGAGAAGCACTGGTGCTGTAGCAGTGCAGCGCGAGCCACCACGTCACTCCAGCTCCTTTTTCTGAAATAGCTTCAGGATGTGATTTTCAATAACCTGTTGGACTAAGGCAGGGGGGAGAAGTGAAACCCAGGGAAGCAAGGCCTGCCAGAAGCCAGTACCGCTGCGGGCAGGACCTGGTCACCATTTTGCTCACGTTTTCCAGCGGGAGGCTGGAAAACCCATTTCTCCAGGGACCTGTCCCCACCTCCCCTGTCCCAGCCCCATCTCCAGCACCGCTCTGGTTCAGAGGGGGAGCAAGGGGAACAGGACCCATCTTGATTTCTCTGCATGGCAGAGCACGGAGCTGTGGTGGAAGGTCAAAAAAAGCCCCGAGCAAGGCTGGAAGCCAGCAATTACCCGGAGGCTTCCCGGGGAGGGAAGGCAGGGCTCCCTGCCACGCACGGAGGGGACACTTGCCTTTCTTGTGTCCCAGGGCCACGGCCAGATCCATCGGGGTGTAGCCAGAATCCGCCTCCGTCGTCAGGTCAGCCCCACGAGCTGCAAGCAGGCAGTGGAGATCAGGGCTCGGCGCTCCCCCCGGCTCAGGCAGGGGGTGAGGGGACCCCCAAAAGGTGCCCGTCCTGGCTGGGCAGCCCCCCGTGACACCCCCGGCTGCTCAGTTTCTCCCCCCCGGCGTGGCACGCTCTCTGCCCGAGGTTACCGACGAGCAGCGATTCGAGGCCGAGCACCAAGTGCCCATCTCCCCCGTTACCTAGCAGGGCCTCGACACACTTGACGTGGTTGCCGCGCACGGCGTAGAGCAGAGGAGTGCCGCCGTTCTGCGGGGAAAGGGAAGGGGCTGTGTCACTGCCGGCCTCGCGCGCGGCCGTGCCGGGCTGGGTGAGCGCTCGCAGAGCGGCTCTGCGCAGGTTTTATTCTCTGTATGCAATACGGCAACTTTTAAATTATATCATTTTAAAGACAGCCTTAAGTTCTGAGCGCTGTTTCCTTGCGGCTGGTTCCAGGGAGAACAACTGAGGAAACCATTGAAAATTATTATCCAGATTAATTTCTCGAAACGATTGCACGAGCAGACGAGCGCTGCGAGCCTGGGAAGCGTCCAGCAGAAAGGCCCTGCTGCTAGCTCAGCCCAGAACGACGGGAACTCGCTGCTGCTTTCGAAAACGAGCTTTGCGGAGCCCCGTGCGGGGCTGGGTCCCGGCAGCACTCACCCAGTCGTAGATGTTGATGTCCACGTTCCTCTCCAGCAGCATGATGACGATGTCGGTGTAGCCGCCCATGCTGGCCAGGGACAGGGCACTCTCCCGCTCCTTCGCCAGCGCGTGGGGGTCGGCGCCCTGGGGACGGCACGGGTGTCAGCGCCGATGGGTGAAGGAGCCCCGCTGAGACCCGGCACGCTCAGCACAGCCTTGCTGGGTACCCCAGGGGGGCCGATCAGGGAGCCAGGTCCCGACGGGCTCATGGGGCAGAGAGAGCTCACGCATCCCCAGTGACCTCTCCTTACCAAAGTCCTTACTGGGCTCATTTTAATCATCATCAGACATCTCGGGCCAGGATTTAAAAGCCGTTCTCCGGTGTCAGTAAACCAAGCCTGATGGTTCTGTGACTCAGCCCTTCTTCCCATCACTAATAACAGTGTTAGCAGCCCTGCCTAGATGCCTGTACACCATCCACCGTCTCTTTTTGTTACTGATTTACACAGAAAACCTCCCCATCCTCCAAGCCCTGCCAGCCTCAGACCTCTCCTGGACTTCATTATAGCCTTTACCCAGCGTTATCACCTCGTTTATTTTGGCTCTTTTTGTCTCTCTGGTAAAGCATCGCGGTTTTGCTGCTAACACAGTAACAGAGCTAGAGTTCGGCCAGCGCTTCTGGGGCGGGCGTGCTCGCTGATCACTGGACGCACGTGGATGTGGGACTGAGCTTTGGGGAGCAGCCGGATCGAGCGCAGGAGGATCTGCTTCTTGCTCACCCCGAGACAGCCCTCGACTGCAAGCCCGGCACTCAAGGACAATGCAGCAATGAGTTCATTAACTGCAACGACACCTCGGCGAGCACATTTGCTGGCAGATTACAGGGCCCAAGTGCTAAGCCTGATCTCAAATTACCAATAAGCAGATATTTAATTACAAACAGTTATTGCTAGCTGTGAGATAAGGCTCTTCATGCTCCTGACTTAGCTCGCAGCGCAGCGGGGAGCAGCATCCGACAGCGCCCGAGCTCTGCAAAGGTGTCCTGTTCGGTGCCACGGGAAAGCTCGGCTGAGACGGTACCGGGACGGTGCTGGACAATTTGGGGCTGGAGATGGGAAGTCTCCTGTTAACGAGGTGCTGCGTGAGCGTGGCCTTACCCATTTCAGCAGGTGACGGACCGTTTCGATCTCTCCGAAGGCCGCAGCCCAGATCAGCGGTGTGAAACCTCTCTCATCAGGTTTATTTACCAAGTTCTCGCCTGCACAAACATGGATGAGACATCGTAAACAGGAAGGGTGAAGCCCCCTCCGCTCCCTGTGCCCCAGTAAATCCAGCAAAGGCTGTAAAATTCAGCCAAGGGTTTATCGACAGGCGTGCTATGCTCTGGCAAGGCCTCTGCGTGATCTGGGTAAGAACCCACAGGCAGAGCCGCGTACCTTTCCGAAGGTGCTCTTTCAGCTGGCTGAGCTCTCCTTGGGCGGCAAGCTGGTGGATGGACAACGCTGCGGGACAGAAGGAATTCACCCGTTAAGACAAAATGTTTCCCCAGCTCAGCACCCACCGTCTGCAGGTGGGTCCCTGCGAGTCTGGGGTGGGGGTGACTGGACAGCCCCTGTCTGAGCTCCCTAAAAAACCCGCCGGGCAACGAACACCCGTCCCCCATACAGC